CGGAGCAGACGTGACATCACGGCAGCCCGGAGACCCTGCGATTGGTCAGACGGAGGTCTCCCTTCCCGCCGCACACGAGGCAGCCATAACGAAGGAATAAGTGCTCCATGTGTGATGTAGAAGTGGTGATGTGGGCGCGGCGTGCGGTCAGCGGGCGCTGCGTCCTTCCTTCCCGCGGAGGAAAAGCCGTGAAAAGCTTTTTCTTGTTTTACAGAAATTCTACAATGGGTGAAACGGAGCGCGGGACGGCGGCGAGCGGCGATTAAAAGACAATCGGTAAAGATGTTAATAATCAGGAAATCAAATCGTCTCACAAATACTTTTATTAAAGGGGGAACCCCCCCCCCCCCCCCAGTATGGTCCTTAAAGGGGAACTCCAATCAACTATAACACTGCCCTGGATGAGATCGGAGTGGCACAGACTCTGATGACACAGAATCTGCCGGTGGGCGGAGACTTAGACATCAGACAGCTGGGAGAGTTGTCAGGGGGCGGAGCTGTGACACATATCTGCCGGCTCAGACCAGCCACGCTTTCCGGGGAAAGTTGGAGGAAAATGAGAGACGAGACGATTGGCTGTGCAGAGAAAATCGAAGATTTGAAGACTTCATCTTCCACTATCACAGCTGCTTGAAAGTCCAATGCCCCATTTTCCGGAGTGGGGTTCCCCTTTAAGTGCGCTTGGCGAGCTTTGTATGAACAGGGATTCGTCCGCCTGAGCGCAGCGCGATTGTCCGCCATTAATGGGAGGCGCGGACGGCTCTTTATTGATGAGGAATTCAGGTAAAAGGCGGAGATCGTCCTCTGCGCAGGAAATGAGAGAAGTAACGTTTTGATAGCAGAGCGCGGCGCAGCGTGCGGCGGATTAATAGACGCGCCGCGTGCCGGAGATATCGCCTAATTCTCCTTCCCGCACCTGATAATTATACGGAAAGGTGCGCGGCTGATCACCGCCATTATCCTTTCCACAAACCCGTCCAGATGTCGGCGGACCGACAATCCGGAATCCCTCCAATAATCTGTTCCCAAAAACATATGTCCAGAATAAACTCCACTGCACACCAGCTGAAAGGACAGATCAGGCTGACAGTGGGAGGGGCTGCACCTGGGGAGATTTGTAAGCTTCAAGGAGAATCACGGAGGAAAAAATGCAGCTTCAGAAAACGAATAGAATGGAGTTTTATGATTTGTGGTGAAGGATGATGTCAGATTCACCACGCCGGTGACGCCGCGATACAGAACACTGAAGGCATCCACAAATATGACTGAGGGGCCACTTCAGCATTCTCCAACTCCAGCCATTTCTTTTATAGTTGGAGTGAGGATGGGTTTGTAATGCCTCCGGGTCCCCGTTGGGGAGATTTGTTCTCAATACCTGACTGACTGGACAGGAAGTGAAGGGAAATCTCTCCATCGGGGACACAGCCAAGATCACGTTTTAGTGTAAATAATGTTATAGCTGCCGGTGTGTCTACCTGTCCCGGTGACACCCACAACCTTCATTTCCTGTACAGGTGTCACACAGACAAAAAGGGGGAAATCTTCCCCATAGGGTCACAAACATTCTGACACACGCACACATTGTAACACACGCACACATACAATGTGACACACACATACATTGTGACACACGCACACATACATACATTGTAACACACGCACACATACAATGTGACACACGCACACATACATTGTGACACACGCACACATACATACATTGTAACACACGCACACATACAATGTGACACACACATACATTGTGACACACGCACACACACATACATTGTGACACACACACACACACATTGTGACACACGCATACATACATACATTGTGACACACATACATACATTGTGACACATGCACACATACATTGTGACACACATACATACATTGTGACACATGCACACATACATTGTGACACACAGAGACACTTGGTGCAGAACAAAGCGGACCCCCCTGGAAGGGCTCCCGGGTGCTGACAAGTCGGCTAATCACAGACTTCTCATCTCTGGGATAACGAGCATCATAATCGCGTCTAATTGTTCCCGGCGATGTGACGCTGTTTGTTCTCCGAGCGGATCAGTAAACAGGTAATCACAATCACACAATCATTTCAAAAGGCAATCACATAACGTGACCTGCCGGCGGCTCCTGATTGGCTGCCGCACATTCCAAGCCGTGTAATTATTAAAATGTTAATGTGGAGGCAGACAAAGACAGACGAGCTCCGCTACTTAACCCCTCGCCTCCCGCGCACCCCTCCACTCCCCCGCCAGCACAGGTGACACCAACATATCCAACATTCAATATTCCCCGAGGGAAGGAGATTCACTCCTCCAATCCCCTATACACACAGCTGACTGGTAACAGGAGGTGAAGGCCATCCTCCGAACTGACATGACATGAAGGCCATCCTCCGAACTGACATGACATGAAGGCCATCCTCCGAACTGACATGACATGAAGGCCATCCTCTGGTCTGACATGACATGAAAGCCATCCTCTGGTCTGACATGACATGAAGGCCATCCTCTGGACTGACATGACATGAAGGCCATCCTCTGGTCTGACATGACATGAAGGCCATCCTCTGGTCTGACATGACATGAAGAAGGCCATCCTCTGGACTGACATGAAGGCCATCCTCTGGTCTGACATGACATGAAGGCCATCCTCTGGACTCTGGACTGACATGACATGAAGGCCATCCTCTGGACTGACAAAGTGAGGGATGTCCTACACATTTCTTGCATGCTTTTACCACGTGTGGCTGGAGCCTCTGATGTGACATCTTTTATGATCTGGTTGTCTAATAAAGTGGCTGCAAAACATGAACGTCAAGACAAAAGGGAAGAAGTGCGCGCAGAGATAACACACATAGAGACCAGAGCGGGGATCACACTCAGTGCCGGTCTGTCAGCAATTCAGAGGTAGAAGAGGAGGGCCGAGCCGCCAGCGCTGACCCTGCATGGCGGCCGTATACAAACCGCCCCATCTCTGGTCACATGCGAGTGTTATACTGCTTCTGCTTCCTTTGTGACCTGCTCCGGATCTGCTCGCTTTCCTTTTGTCGGGAGGTTCTTCACGGGAGGGTTGGATCATGTCTGCATGTCAATCCGCCATGTAATCTTCAGTCTGCTGGACTGCTGAAAAATCACTCATGAGATTATGGTGACGTTCCCCCAATAGATGGCTCTCATGTGATCATTCACCCGACACCAAACAATCAATCACTCAACAATCACCCAACAATCAACCCAACAACTAACCCAACAATCAACCCAACGATCACCCCAACGATCACCCAACAATCACCCAACAATCCCCCAACAATCACCCAACCATCACCCCAACCATCCCCCCAACGATCACCCAACGATCACCCAACAATCAACCAACAATCAACCCAACGATCACCCCAACGATCACCCAACAATCACCCAACAATCCCCCAACAATCACCCAACCATCACCCCAACCATCCCCCCAACGATCACCCAACGATCACCCAACAATCAACCAACAATCAACCCAACGATCACCCCAACGATCACCCAACAATCACCCAACAATCCCCCAACAATCACCCAACCATCACCCCAACCATCCCCCCAACGATCACCCAACGATCACCCAACAATCAACCAACAATCAACCCAACGATCACCCCAACGATCACCCAACAATCACCCAACAATCCCCCAACAATCACCCAACCATCACCCCAACCATCCCCCCAACGATCACCCAACGATCACCCAACAATCAACCAACAATCAACCCAACGATCACCCCAACGATCACCCAACAATCACCCAACAATCCCCCAACAATCACCCAACCATCACCCCAACCATCCCCCCAACGATCACCCAACGATCACCCAACAATCAACCAACAATCAACCCAACGATCACCCCAACGATCACCCAACAATCACCCAACAATCCCCCAACAATCACCCAACCATCACCCCAACCATCCCCCCAACGATCACCCAACGATCACCCAACAATCAACCAACAATCAACCCAACGATCACCCCAACGATCACCCAACAATCACCCAACAATCCCCCAACAATCACCCAACCATCACCCCAACCATCCCCCCAACGATCACCCAACGATCACCCAACAATCAACCAACAATCAACCCAACGATCACCCAACGATCAACCCAACGATCAACCCAACAATCATCCAACAATCACCCAACAACCAACCCATCAATCAGCCCAAAGATCACCCAACAATCACCCAACCATCACCCCAACGATCACCCAACGATCACCCAACAATCACCCAACAATCACCCAACCATCACTCCAACGATCACCCAACGATCACCCAACAATCACCCCAACGATCACCCAACAATCACCCAACAATCACCCAACCATCACCCCAACCATCACCCAACGGTCACCCAACAATCAACCAACAATCAACCCAACAATCAACCCAACAATCAACCCAACAATCACCCAACGATCACCCCAACGATCACCCAATAATCACCCAACAATCACCCAACAATCACCCAACGATCACCTAACGATCACCTAACGATCACCCAACGATCACCTAACGATCACCCAACAATCAACCAACAATCAACCCAACGATCACCCAACAAAAAGCCTGTAGCCACCCAGCAATTGTTCCACGATAGCCGTGAACAGGGATTTGATCTCGCGGACTGACCCTCAGACAATCAATACTGCCGGAATATTTATAAATGATAAAACTGAAGAGACAGATGATGTGACTCTGGTCAGGCCGCTCCCCTCCAATGGGAACCAAGAACATGACTCCAAGCATCAAAATACAGCAGAAACGTCAAACCAAATGCTGTACAATCCAGGCAAATCCTGGGGGAGGGGGGCCCATCATGGCCAGAAATCTTCACAAAGACGCCCCAACTGTCACACCTCCTCCGCCCCCGAACTGCTCAGGGTCACCAGTTCCATTAGGTGGGAGGAGACAATCACTTACCTGAGGGGCCCATGTCTCTGCGAGGGTCTCCGGGCTCTCCCAGGGGTCTCTCCGGGCTTTCAAGGGATCTCTAGGGTCTACCAGCTCTACCAGGGGTCTCTGGGCTCTTCCAGGGGTCTCCAGGCCCTCCCAAGGGTCTCTGGACTCTCCCAGGGGGCTCCCGGCTCTACCAGGGGTTCTGGGTTCTCCAGGCTCTTCTAGGAGGCACTCCTGGCTCTCCCAGGGGGGTCCGGGCTTTCTAGGGATCTCCAGGCTCCAGGGGTCTCTCTCGGCTCTCCGGGCCCTCCCAGGGGTCTCCGGGCTCTCCCAGGAGTCTCTCCAGACTCTCCCAGGCCCTCCCAGGGGGCTCCGGGCTGTCACAGCTCTACCAGGGGGCTCCCAGCTCTACCAGGGGGCTCCGGGATCTCCCAGGGGGCTCCGGGATCTCCCAGGGGTTTCCAGGCCCTCCCAGGGGTCTCTCGGGGCTCTCCCAGCTCTCATAGGGGGCTCCAGGCTCTCCGGGCCCTCCCTGGGGTCTCCGGGCTCTCTAGCTCGCAGCTCCTGATTGGAAACGGCAGGAACATTGTTTCTCATCGGCAGTTAATCATCAACCTCCAGACTGGTTAATCTGTAATGGGAGGCTGGTGAGGCGGCCTCCGTTGCTCCGGCAGATAGCGGCACGAATGGGCCAATCGCGGGGCAGAGATATTACTGAGAGATGTAAAAAAAAAGTCATAAAATCCCAGCGTAATATTTAACTAAATTAAGACAATTTGGTGAGCAATTTGGCACTAAACCCGCCGCCATTAACAGGTTTCCTCGGTTGGTCTTTGTTCTCCGGGGTGATCGGACACAAAGTGTCACAGGAGCAAAGACACCGGAAACGGAGCAAAATCAGAGACGTCCGGAGAATAATGACCATCGAAAATTGTGTGCCGGAATGAGGGAGAGCGATGGAGAAATAGTGATCAATAATTAAAGAGGACCTGTCATCAGATATAACTGCAGGCTGAGTAATGTGTCCGTGTGACCCTTCCAGGTATTTATTACCTCTCATAGAGATCACAGGACTCCCCCCGACAATGCTTCCACCTGCTTTTCTCTCCAGAAGGACGGCACCATCACAGATCAACACCTGCTGCAGCCTCTCACCTTGCTACAAAGTGTGATGACATCACCTCAGCCCAGGCAAAGTCACTGACTGGAGCTGAAGGACGGATTTTTATTGATAAGAGGGGGAGATTTCCTGGAGAATGATCCTGTTGCTGTACATTGAGGATTATTCATGGAGACAGGTCCTCTTTAACACACGAATGTTGCTGGAAATGACGCAATTGGTGGAAAGTTTATAAATACAGCGGAGGGTGAAAACGCGGCAAATAATCGGCCAATCAGACCTCACGGATTAATAAATAGCCTGAAACGTGGATAAAACACTCATGTATCCCCCGGGAAATACTTTGGTCTCTGCGGGGCACATGTGGGGGGTCTCTGTGCGGAACATGTGGGGGTCTCTGTGCGTCACATGTGGGGGGTCTCTGTGCGGAACATGTGGGGGTCTCTGCGCGGCACATGTGGGGGTCTCGGCGCGGCACATGTGGGGGTCTCGGCGCGGCACATGTGGGGGTCTCGGCGCGGCACATGTGGGGGTCTCGGCGCGGCACATGTGGGGGTCTCGGCGCGGCACATGTGGGGGTCTCGGCGCGGCACATGTGGGGGTCTCGGCGCGGCACATGTGGGGGTCTCGGCGCGGCACATGTGGGGGTCTCGGCGCGGCACATGTGGGGGTCTCGGCGCGGCACATGTGGGGGTCTCGGCGCGGCACATGTGGGGGTCTCGGCGCGGCACATGTGGGGGTCTCGGCGCGGCACATGTGGGGGTCTCGGCGCGGCACATGTGGGGGTCTCGGCGCGGCACATGTGGGGGTCTCGGCGCGGCACATGTGGGGGTCTCGGCGCGGCACATGTGGGGGTCTCGGCGCGGCACATGTGGGGGTCTCGGCGCGGCACATGTGGGGGTCTCGGCGCGGCACATGTGGGGGTCTCGGCGCGGCACATGTGGGGGTCTCGGCGCGGCACATGTGGGGGTCTCGGCGCGGCACATGTGGGGGTCTCGGCGCGGCACATGTGGGGGTCTCGGCGCGGCACATGTGGGGGTCTCGGCGCGGCACATGTGGGGGTCTCGGCGCGGCACATGTGGGGGTCTCGGCGCGGCACATGTGGGGGTCTCGGCGCGGCACATGTGGGGGTCTCGGCGCGGCACATGTGGGGGTCTCGGCGCGGCACATGTGGGGGTCTCGGCGCGGCACATGTGGGGGTCTCGGCGCGGCACATGTGGGGGTCTCGGCGCGGCACATGTGGGGGTCTCGGCGCGGCACATGTGGGGGTCTCGGCGCGGCACATGTGGGGGTCTCGGCGCGGCACATGTGGGGGTCTCGGCGCGGCACATGTGGGGGTCTCGGCGCGGCACATGTGGGGGTCTCGGCGCGGCACATGTGGGGGTCTCGGCGCGGCACATGTGGGGGTCTCGGCGCGGCACATGTGGGGGTCTCGGCGCGGCACATGTGGGGGTCTCGGCGCGGCACATGTGGGGGTCTCGGCGCGGCACATGTGGGGGTCTCGGCGCGGCACATGTGGGGGTCTCGGCGCGGCACATGTGGGGGTCTCGGCGCGGCACATGTGGGGGTCTCGGCGCGGCACATGTGGGGGTCTCGGCGCGGCACATGTGGGGGTCTCGGCGCGGCACATGTGGGGGTCTCGGCGCGGCACATGTGGGGGTCTCGGCGCGGCACATGTGGGGGTCTCGGCGCGGCACATGTGGGGGTCTCGGCGCGGCACATGTGGGGGTCTCGGCGCGGCACATGTGGGGGTCTCGGCGCGGCACATGTGGGGGTCTCGGCGCGGCACATGTGGGGGTCTCGGCGCGGCACATGTGGGGGTCTCGGCGCGGCACATGTGGGGGTCTCGGCGCGGCACATGTGGGGGTCTCTGCGCGGCACATGTGGGGGTCTCTGTGCGGCACAACGTTATAAATAAAAATGTTTTCATCGCAGCAAAGATGACGTGAGGAGAGGACACGGCACAGGGCGGCGATATAACGTGATGACGGATCGCTCCGCCCGCCTATTATCCCAATTTACAGACCATTAAAAATAAAATACCAAAACACAGCCGGCAATAAAGATGTGTCACCGATCCACCGATCCGTGTCACCGATCCGCCTCCTCCCCCGCTCCGCCACAGAACATCTCCTGGTGATTGACAGGACACGTGTGGTTACTACGGGCAACGCCAACACTTTTTTGTCTAACCTTGCCAATTCCAATACAGCACATTGGCAGTACGAGGGTCACATGCTACACCCTTCAGCCAGAGGAGAGGACGTATGCGCGGCATGCTCGCAGTGTTGTAGAGCAGAGTGATAGAAGGGGAGTCACGTTTTATAGTCACACGGCCATTGCTGAGAAATCAGAAGTGGGAAATTCTCCTTCTGCTCATATATCATCTTAGAGACGCAGCATTGAGTTCTGTGCGGGGCCCCGGCACTGCACGCCGGGTCCCCACATTCTAACACTACAAGTAACCAATCAGGAAAGACGGATGATTATAGGCGACGCCATTGGCTCAGTAGTAGCGGTCAGAGTATCTTGTGTCTGTACGCCGATCTCACACAGGTATCATTCAGCCGTGGTACAGGGCGGAATCTTCTATTATGTACTCACCATGAAATCCTTCTCTTCCTCATCCATTGAGGGACACAGGAATTCAGGCTGTCCCATCCTCCTGCAGGCGGCAGTATAACCCGGCAGTGTCTGAACTCCTGTGTCCCCTCAATAAAGAAAAGAGGATCTTTTTTCTCTTTCTTGTCCATTGAGGGACACAGAGAGTCACATGCTGTCGGGTTATACTGCCCCCTGCAGGAGGACTGGACACGGGTATCTATACCATTGAGGGACACAGAGAGTCACATGCTGTCGGGTTATACTGCCCCCTGCAGGAGGACTGGAAACGGGTATCTATTCCTCAATGGACGAGGAAGGTGTGACATAAGCTAATAGAAGGATTCTGGTTTGTTGTTGAGTCTTTTCCCTCGCACACCCGCGACAGAAGTGCTGCAGCACGATTGCCGACTTGCCTGCTGGCTGCACGTTCCGGGACCGCCGAGGTGACGAATGTAGAAAAGGTTCATAGCTCCTCCCACCCCCAGAGGCCCGGAACTCTCCGCCGACAAAGAAAGAGGAAACAATTCCGGAGCTGCTACAATGTATCCAACGGGGATTCCTTCTCCATCCTCCCGGGATCAGCGTGACACAATGTGATCTCCTGTGTCATCCTCATCCTGTCATCGTGAACTGCTGCGTGTCCAAATCTTCTTCTCTGAAAGGTGACCTGTCACTAATATTCCGAGTCTCCATCAATGCGTCACAGCTCCGGAATGCTCCGCCTCCTGCCACTAACATTCCGAGTCTCCATCAATGCGTCACAGCTCCGGAATGCTCCGCCTCCCATCATTACCAGACGTCAGAAGTCGCCCAGGACCTGGTATCCGCTCGGCCCGGGCGCGCTCTTCCCGCACAGCGCAACCGAGGGAATGTTTGAAAAATAAAAGGTGACCGTCCCTTTTATGATGAAAGCGCGGCGCGGCGGACATGTTAATTGGCGCGCACATTGGCGAGGCGCTAATGGTCCCCGCCGGTTCATTAGTCAATGCAGATTAATGGTCAGCGATCTCGTGAGGTCGTTATTTTGCAGCATTTGATCTCGTCGGTCGGTTGGACCGGCGCATTCGGCTAATAATCGGCGGCGCCGGACAGCAGGAGGTACGCAGAGAAAAATCGCCAACCGCCTCATTTATCTCCTTGTTATCCGGCCGCGTCGCGCGCACATACTCCCAAGGCTTTTTTTTTTTATTCTGCGCTCGGCGACGAGGAATTGTTCCCGCGCACGGTAACAGCGTCACGGAAAATAATTATTGAACTTCTGGCTGATCTGATCACCGATCTCACACTACTAACCCGCCAGTGTGCACGCCGCCAGAAACGCCATCCAATA